CACACACAGAGCAGCTAAAAGCCCTGCCCTCCATGCGTGCAGGGTTTTCCAAGCCGGGGTGACTTCCCCGAAAGGCTGACAGAATTTCAGACATTCAGAAGCATCTGGATCACCTGAGGTGAGTGGTTTCAAGGAGCAGGGACTTGTATAGTCTTTTGCTCCTCCTTGAATCACCTCAAGAACTTTGGAACTCCCTCCCACTGGAGACCCAGCTGGCCCCATCTTTGCTGCCCTTCTTCAAGCAGGCGACCTTTCTCTCAGGCAAGTTTTCTCTGAGCAACTGGCTGCCCGAGTGAGGTTTTTAAAATTTCTGCACCCTCCTGCTTCAGATGCATTGTTGGTGTTTCGTATGTTTTTAGTAAGCTATTTGTTCCTTTTTAGTATTTGTGGACTTGCTGTTTTAGCTCAGAATATTGTCTTTTAATGACGTAAGCCACCTTGAGTCCTTTCAAGGAGAAAGGCGGGGCAAAAATATTTAAATAATAATAACAACTCTAATTATCTAGTGAGGGAGAAATGTTCCATGTAAAACACATCACAGAAAGAAGACAAACAGAGATCTTGTCTCAGCAAAACAACAACAACAACAAAAAAAGACCCTCGTACCTGCCTGGGTCTCCAGGAGCCGACTCAGCCCTCAGGAGGTACTGAAAGAGGGTCCTGTACTCCGGATGGCGGAAGGCTTCCAGGCAGGTAGCGGGCTTCAAACCGGGGTCCAAGCTGGCCCTTTCCAACATGGGAGTCAGGGTAGACCTAGGAAGAGGTTGAAAAATACGTACGAAAACGCACCAGGTATGACTGTGGCCCTGGACCACTCAAAACAAACAAACAAACAAACGAAAACAGCAACCAGCCAAAGCAACCCACCCCATTCTGTCTCTACTAACTTCCAAATGTGTCTGATCTTCTTGGACTCTGGAAAAGTTACTGGACCAGGACGGCTCAGGAAATCTGGAAGCCATCGTCTCCCAAAGTAACATTCCTACAAACTTCACAATGGTCCTTGATCAACCAGCTGTCAAATCTGCTTTGATTTGGGTTCCTGCCTCCAGCAGGGGGTTGGACTTGATGGCCTTGCAGGCCCCTTCTGACTTCACCGTTCTACGATTCTAGGATCACAACGGTGAAGTCTACTGAGTGATCACCATTATAAAGGTGTGTCTTAATGTCTAATTTCCAGCAATGTGTGGGAAAGCAGCAGGACAAAGCTCTGCCCGTTCTCTTTGATCCACCCACCCTTCAATCTCTAGACGATTCAAGAAAATATTATAATTTGAGATGGCACAAACAGGGGATGGGCAAACCCTGTCTAACCAAGTCATGTTGCTGCAGCACAAACAATGGCTCAGGGCGGGTGGCGCATCCATAGCCCGCTGGAGCAGGGCTACAGCTCCGAGATCTACGGAGATGGGTGCCGTACCTCAGCTGGACATCCAGCGCAGCCGCTAAACAGGGCAGGTCAAGCAGCAGGTGGAAGATCTCGATGGCCGTGTCTTCCCTGAGCAAGGCAGGAAGAAGGTCCATGTATTCAGCAAGCAGGGCTGGGCTGTTCCACGCCAGGAACTGCGAACAGGGGGCAAGACAGATTACAAGGCTATGTGGGATTTTTAGAAATTTCATCTGTCCACCTGTTTTTCCAAACGACTGTTTCATTCACCCAAGGCCAGAGCCAGACCCTCAATGTCAAAATGGAAATCCAAACAGATCGCTGCGATCAGCAAGGTGAACCTCACTCGTAGCTCTCCCTGACTCTCCTGGCAGATTCTCACTCAAGTCGGATGGATCAGAATGGTAGGGTGGGAGAAAAAGCCCATTCATTAAACTCATCCTATATGAAGATACCTGACTCCCAATCTTCCCATACAAAGATCCTGCATCAGCCTAGAGCAGGGGTTCCCAAGCTGGGGTCCCCAGATGTTCTTGGACTACAACTCCCAGAAATCATGGCCAGCACAGCTAGAGGTGAAGGCTTCTGGGAGTTTTAGTCCAAGAACGTCTGGGGTCCCAAGTTTGGGAACCACTGGGTTAAACCAACTCAGACTCCCAGTCTACCAAAGGCATTATTGGCTAGAGCAACCTTTCCTAACCGGGTATCTTCCAGAGGTTGCTGGACTGTCATTCTCAGCCACCCAACAGAGCCTTCGGGGTCACGGATTCTCTCCAGAACTCACATGCAGACGGGGAAAAGGAAGTCCAGCCAAGCCTTGGTACCTTGAACAGGTTTGGAGCGTTCTGTTGGAAGATGCTGAGACTCTCGGTGAAGAACGGGAGGTTGAGCCTGCAGAACTGGACGAACTCGTAGGCCACCAGCGGGTGGTGGAAGAGCTGAGCCGGGACTTTCGTGAACAGGTGCTTGTAAACGGCTTCAGAGTCGATGGCGGCGGTCTCGCCTGGGTGGTGTGAACGGGGCAGACAGAAAGGGCAATCGGGCACCTGCCTGCACTATTTCAACCCACCGACCGCCCATGATTCTGGGCTGGGCACAGGACCCCCCAAGGCGTTAAGATAAACCAAGAAGGCAACGCCTTGGGCAAAGTGGAAACGAAGCCTCTTTACTTACTGTGATTGAGGAAAAACTGGGCAATGGGCAAGAGCACCCGGGCGTAGGAATGATCTCCGCTGAGCCGGCCGTGTAAATTCTTCAGGCAGGAAAGCGAGCGGTAGACGTAGGAGGAGTCCTGCCGACAAACAATGTCCATGATCGTGATCGCCTCAATGAGACACTGTGTGAGAAAGCGAAAGGGTTTAATTACCTGGGTAAATCATTCACAGCCTGCTGATACCCCAGGCTATTTCTCAAGCATACTTACAGCTTTCTGCAGTTCCCCATCGGTTTTCTTCAGAGCCCCTGGCAGAAAAAAGCCAATTAGACTCAGATTCCGTACCAACAGGGCTAAAAAGCAGACTGGGGGCCCATGAGGACAGCCAACAAAGACAGGGGGGCACAGAAGGCAGAAGACGGCCCCCGCTGAGCCTGGAATGGCCCCAAGCCCAGCTGGTTTGGGTTCTGACTTGCATGCTTTGGCTTCTCACCGAGGCCACGGGCCATGCACGGCTAGTGGATCAGCCTCAAGGGAGAACAGCCCTCAAGAGAAAAAAGCCTAATAGGAAGGGGCACCGAGAGACCAAAGAGGCTACAGGCACTAGCAGAATCCTTGTTCGCTTCTTTTAACTTCTGGCTTAAAGCAGGGATTCCCGACCTTGGACCTCAAGATGTTCTTGGACTAGAACTCCCAGAAGCCTTCACCCCCAGCTGTGCTGGCCAGAATTTCGGGGTGGTGGTGTTTGCAGTCCAAGAACATCTGGAGACCCAAGATTGGGAACCATTGGCTTAAAGTAAAATGTGAGCACAGTCATTTGAACCTCATCGATATTGTTGGATATCCAGGAGATTCCCAACCTTGGACCTCAAGATGTTCTTGGACTAGAACTCCCAGAAGCCTTCACCCCCAGCTGTGCTGGCCAGAATTTCGGGGTGGTGGTGTTTGCAGTCCAAGAACATCTGGAGACCCAAGATTGGGAACCATTGGCTTAAAGTAAAATGTGAGCACAGTCATTTGAACCTCATCGATATTGTTGGATATCCAGGTATCTGGCTGTGCAGCAAGATTCTGGGTGTTTTGATTCTCCACTGGGTCCCCTAGGAGAAGAGAGCCAGCCTGGGTATCCTTGGGCCAGCTGCCCAGTCCCAGGGCACCCCCAGAAGAAGAGAATCAGAAACCACCTCTGAGTATTCTCTACCAGGAAAATCCTGAAAAGGGTTGCCATAACTCAGAATTGATTTGACAGCACACAATCATTATCATCTGTGTTCTAATAAAGATAACAGTCTCAGCTGGGGGTGCAGCATGTTACAGAAGAACCAGCAAGGGCCACACAAGCTGTAGTGTTGGGAGAAGACACGGGATAAGGAAGGGTGGTAGGAGCCTAAACTGGCTTCAAATTTCTATTATCTTGTTCAGGCAACCCCCCGCCCCCGTAAAAGAAAAAAAGATGGCAGTGACTCACGGCGGTTGCTCTGCTCTATCAGCCGCTGGCAATACTCAAAAGCCTTTTCCCTCAAGCGCTCCTTTGGAGGGAGAAGACGGCTGGAGGTGGACGTGACCGAGACCACGGACATGATGGAGCCATCCACCTCGGATTTGTCATCTGCAAAGAAAACCGGGGGGGGGGGAGGGGGAAGAGGCAGAACAAGGCATGGGAGGGAAGGACTGGCGAAATGTCTCCCAAACCTCTGACAGAGGAGAAGAACGCTCTTTCTTAACGAACCCTGAAGACGCTATCCACTCTCACCCCAACCAAGCACTTATGTTTCAGATCATGAGAAACATTTTCCACACAATCTTGGCATGGAAGTCCTGGGTAAAGTTAGAAGCAAAATAACGAACGAAATGATCATGCAAGAGACACAGCAGGAACCACCAATGCTTCTCTGAAGACAGATCAGAAGAACAAGCACTCACACAGGGTTGCGACAGGCAATCTTTTCCAAGCATGGGTCGCTCTATAGCCTCTTTATAGAGAGTAACTGAATGATTCAAGCATACCCACAATACGGCAGGGATTTTTAACTCCCCAGCAGAGACAGACCGGAAGACAGCAAAGCCAGAACGGTCAGTCATGCAGAAGGGCACCATATTTAAAACTCCTGGGTCTGTTCTGCAGACCACTGATGGCACCACGAGACTGAGGCATGCTATCCTTCCTTCTCTTTTTTTGACCCTGATGCCATCATTCAAATTCTGGCTAAGTCAAAATGACTGAAAGGTTATCACTCATCTAAGACACCCATCAGCCCTTACCTGAATTGGGGCCAGCTGCTCCATCGCCTCCGTAGCTCAGGAGCCACTTCCGCAGCATGGAGAAAGCCTGCATGTTGAGCCACTGGTCCTCCGTGTAATACTGGCCCACTGAGAGGACGGTAAAAAAGTCGGTGGCAATGGCGCCATCCACCTCCATGATGGGGCCAGGCTGTGGGAGGAAGGAAAGAGGCAGGTCACGCTGCAGAACGATCCGAGCCACATCTTAGTTCACAGAAAACAAGTGAGCAGGCTTTTGGAATCCAGGTTTAAACAGAGGGAGTCTTTGGCTGTACAATACTCAAAACAGACTGGTAACAACAGGCAGCTGCAGGCAGAAGAATACAGGAAACCTGTGTACAGGAGATGGCTGTCCAATTCAGCTCACCATCCTGATTCGAATAGTAGAATTGTAGAATCATGGAGTCAGAAGGGGCCCATCAAGTCTGACACACACACACACACCCCGGTTCAAGGCAGGAATCCAAACCAAAGCAGATCTGCTAGATGGCTGTCTAATTTTCTCTTCAACGCTTCCAGTGTTGGAGTGCTCACCACTTACCCCTCAGGTCACCGGTTCCATGGTCGTACTGCCCTGCTAAGAAGTTCCTGATCTTCAGGCTAAATCTGGCTTCCTCTAGCTTGAGCCCATTATTACATGTCCTGCACTCTGGGATGATCGAGAACAGATCCTGCCCCTCCTCTGTTATGACTAACTTCCAAGAATTTGAAAAGCCCTAGTAGCTGTGGTCATGGCCCCAGAAGGAGAAGGCTAGCTGCAGCAGAGGATATGAAGGCAATAGCCATCAAACCCCACCATGCTTCTGCCTGATTTCAGTAGCTAAGCAGGACTTGGCCTAGTTATTTCATAGATGGGTGACCACTAAGGAGTACCAGGGATCTCAAAGCAGCTAACACATTGCTGCCAGTTGGCATTAACAATACTAGTCTAGATAGACCACAATTTTGATTCAGTATACGGAAACAGCCTGTGGTCCCTTGATGCGAACATCTCATGTAATAGTTGGGGGTGACAGCTAGTAGATGTTGATAGATCTATCTTCTGTTCATCACTTTAAGGCCTGCTTATGGATCAAACCACGTCTTAAGATCAGCCAGAGAAGTTCTGGTTGAACCACTTTGCTTTCCCGACGCAAGTTAGACAACGGAAGTGACCAAACATGAGAGGTGTCTCCCAGAAGAAGACAAACATGGAAGCCCTGCCCTCAGAAGACACAAGGACCTGCTTCATCTACTACCTTGGATTTTGCCCCACACATACAACGCTGCCCCCCCACCTTAAACAATTCTTTCTTAAAAATCAGCCTGGATCCCAGGCTCTTTCACTGTAGCTCCGCACCTGCCTTGCTCTGGGGTTAAAGAAGCCTCCGGAAGACTGAGGGACCCCTTGCTGGACACTTGCATATCTCAGCCAGTCCACCATCCGTTTGCTGAGTAGGTTGATCTGATCTGTGGATCCAAAGCAATCAGAAAGATACAGCAGAAAGACAATCGGAAAGCTGCCGCTTCGCTCATCCACTATTTCCAGCATCCATGGGGGTGGGCTTTGAACCGATCCCCCTATGAACACTACGGTCCTATTGCAGTTTGAAGCTAAGACTGAGCTCATACTGTGCTTTTTAACTCTCTTTCCCTCATCCCAATTTCTTGCTCAGGGGAGGACACGCCCTCACTTCCATCCCTGTATCAGTTCCATACACTTCGCCCCTTTCATTTCTTCCTCCTCAAATCACTTCAAAATGTAGGTGGGATCTTTTATATCTGATAGCTCCTGCGCTTCTAAAATAGGATGAACAACAGCTCTCCAGATGTAGTAGGACTGCAACTCCCATAAGTCGCAGACAGAAGAGCCAACAAGGGCAGAATGCTGTGAGCAGCAGCCAAACATCTGGATGGCTCAGCTTGAGCCAGAATAACAGTCAGCTCCTAACAACAACAAGCAAAAGGAAGCAGCTGCTTGTGTTACCTCCTATATGGGCTGCTTTCAGGCTTCAGAACCCTGGCCCCTTAAGGTCTTTCCCAAGCTAAGCTGAGACTCTGTAGAGGACCTCAGGATTCTTAATTTTACCTTCGGTAAGGCTTGCTGGTGCCAAGCTGATGACCTCTGAGAGGAGGGGAAGGAGGGGGCGAGCATTCTGACCTTCCGGAAGTCGGCCTTCAAGGAGTTTGATCACATGCTGTCCCACAGCTTCTATATCCGCTTTTCTACTGCACTTTGGGAAGAAATAAGCACGTGAAGGGCTAGGAAGGAACAAGCACTAAACTGTACAAAGCCTATAGGAAAATCACAGGTGTTCTGGAAACATATTTCAAAGCCTGTAGGGATCATCATGATGTGCTATATGAAGGGCTAGGGAGGAACAAGCACTAAACTGTACAAAGCCTGTAAGAAAGTCACAGGTGTTCTGGCAACATAAGCCTGTAGGGATCATCATGATGTGCTATCAAGGTGACTTATGGTGACCCTTCTTCTGGACGTGCCCTGGGATTCTGCTCCTTGCCCAAGACTACACAGGCTGCCTGTTATCCCAGGAGGCACAGTGGAGGAATCAAATTCCCAACCTCTGGCTCCACAGAGCCAGAAACCTAAACCACAGAGTTATCCAGCCAGCTTGCCTGTACACATAGCTAGAAGACAGAAAAAAAATCTACAGGTAAAAAGCTCTTTACTGATGTCCAGAAGTTGGTAAATACCAGATATTGCCACTTGGGGGAAGCTTTTTACAAAACAAAGCCAAGAAGAAAAAGTCTTTCAACCCAGCTTTTCGTAAGTCCAAAACCTAAGTGACAAGTGGAACATAGGGGAAGTAAAAGAACCAGATCCCTCGCCAATACACTGGCTCACTTACATGGGCTAGCATGATGGAGAAGTCTAGGCTCAACAGCTTGGTGTCCTGGGTCTTATCCCAAGCCAGGGACAAATCATTGGAAGGAGACATTTCTCTCAAGATGGCTGCACAGAGTATCTGGACTTGGTCGGAGGACTTTGATAGATGTAGCACAGTCTGCAGACGTTCCACACATTTGCTATTCAACCTGGAAAAGTCCGTCCCATCAACCAAGAAGAAAATGGAACAAAACTAAGATGTCTCCACATTGCGGTTTAGTGGGAAACTGATTACTATCATAGAAAACCTTCTCTAAATGCTGTGATTTTCACCCCACCTGAACGTTTTAGTGGGCAAAGTACAGCCCCACCCAACAAAAAATATTTTACAAATCCTCTAATACTTATTATCTAAACAGGCCATAATGAAACAAAGTACAAATGCCTCTTTTCTGCAGAGCCACCTATACCTTTTGTTAACTGAGCTATATGAATATCATCATCTTCAACCTGTAATGAACATTTGCTTTCACTCACTTCCGGCTATACTTGGCAGCTGAGACAATAAGGAAGAGTCTTTGTAAGCAATCAACAGTTTCACTCCCCAAGTCATGGTTCTGGAGGAGGCCTGTGATTCGAGAAGTGAACTTATTGAGTTCTTCAGCTTGGATTTCCCTAAAAGGAAAGAAAAAAAAACACAAGCTAAGATATCCAAAAGTTACACAGAATTCCTGGGTCCACCTTTGGCTTCCCCGACATTGTTTGTTGTAACTTTTGTGACAAAATTCATGCTTTGCATACATAACAGTCCAGGTCTGTCTCTCGTACTTCTATGCAGTGAGTGTTAAATAAGAGAATTACAAAATATGGTGCTGGTGACATTAAACACATTATCAATACAATACACCCTGTTAGATAGAATAAGACTCTAAGTACATGATGATAATAATAATCATGTGCCACCAAGTCATTCTGACGGCGAATCTTTCCAGAGGTTTCCAGGCACAGAATACTCAGGAGCAGGTAGAGAATACTCAGAAGTGGTTTTACCCTTCCCTTCTTCTGGGGTTGCCCTGGGACTCTGCAGCTTGCCCAAGGCTACCTAGGCTGGTTTTTCTCCCCAGGAGGCACAAGTGGGGGACAGAACTCCCAACCTCTGGTTCTGCAGCCAGGTGCCTAAATTACTGAGTTAACCAGCTTGCTTAAGAACAAGATAACTCCTAATGATTCCATCATAAACACGACAGGGTGGTAGATCCTGGTTTTGAAGCCACTTCGGCTGAACAAACCTCTCAAGATTCTCGGTGAAAATATTAGGAGCAAAATAAAACAATGTATTCTGAAAGGCCCAGCAACACAGACTTAACACGCGCAAACAGTCGGCTGCCAGAAATTATCATTCAGTTCTCTTGAGCCCTACTGTGATACACTAATCATCACACACCCCTGGCTGTTAACAGGTGCCTGGTCAGAATTAAACCTCCTCTCGTTGCAAACTTACTGTGCGTTAGATAGGTTTACTCCAACACAATTAGAGTAAACCCATCTGAATCAATTGAATTGATGGAGGAACCTGACTCACTCCATCCCCAGCTGATTCAATGAGCCTACTCGAGTGTAGAGCTTGGCCATTGATTTACATCCACGGGGCTTTTGGTAGAGCCACCACCACCCATCTTGTGGGAACACTATCCGCTGATTCACTTATCCACTGCCTGAGGGGAACTTCATAGCCCTTGTTTATTTAGCAAGCATCCCTCCCCCATCCACCTCGCCAGGCCAAAAAGGAGGTGCGTTTGGGAGGAGGAGGATGACAATCATCATTGCCTTCCTCTTCCCCTACCTGGCCTGACGCAGGAAACTTTCCGTTGCCGCTGAATACATCCTGCCAACTTCGTCCTCCTCAAAGCCAGAGCTTCGTCAAGGGAAAAAAATCAGGAAGAAATCCAACGTGTTTCCACCCCTTCTCCCTTCCATTTAGCGTCCATTTTGCCCACCAGAGGTGGCTTCTGAGCATGCGCGGAGGTCCTTCCTGGAAAACAGCTCGTGTCGGAAACGGCTCCCGTAGCAACAAGGTTCCGGGGATGTTTTGGTCCTCAGGAGATGCTCCCTAAGTGCTCTTCTTTGGTGGAGGGGGGAAAAAAAGTTGGGTTGGTTCGGAGCCAGGAAGCCCCTCGATTATTGCAACTTAAAAAAAAAAAGAAGAGATGGCTGGCTTTTAGCCTGTTTTCAGCATGTGCCGCAAAAGCTTAAAGGAAATGTCTTGCGGGGGCTTTGAGACCCGCAGATTTATTTCACTGCCTCTCCCCACCCCACCCTAGCAAAACAAAGAAGCAGACAAACAAACGAAAAACACAAAAACCTCCACAGATTTACAGCTGTGGTTGTGAAATGTTGGGACAACAGGCCCTGAAGGAAATGGGCTGTATTAGTCGTCATCATTTCATGCATACTGTTGTTGTAAATTCAGTGCTCAGCTGGGTCACTGAAGATGGGAGCTTGGAAATGTGAATTAGGGCTCCTCAGCCAACCTGGTCATTGCCAGTTGGATTCTACTCAAAAAAAGAGAGTAACTTTCCTAAATTCCAGGGTGCCCCCCCTACTGTATTGTACACCCCCACCTCCATGAAGATCTTTCTCTTCAGGCAGGCTGACTGACTGACTGATAAGATTTTTTTAAAAAACGGATTGTTGTGCTCTTGTTGCTTTTAAATGTATTTCTGGTATTTATTTCATTTGGAACAGAATGACTTGTTCCGTTTTTTTTTTTTTAAATTGCATGCTTAGTCTTTTTAGTTTTTAAATACTGTTTTTTTTAAATGATGTAAGGCGCCTTGTGTCCTTTGAAGGAGAAAGGTGGGGCAAAAAATACAAACCAACAATGCTGGTTACTGGCTGCAACAAAAAGTGCACCAATAATAATAATAATAATAAACAATCAGGGGTGTTTGAGGCTGTAGCTGATCTCCACCTATCACCGGTAGGGAGATAACTGCTATAAAGGTATTGCAAAGATACCTTTACAAGGCATCACAAGACTTACTGGAATATGGTGCAGCTCCGTAGGTTGGCATGCCTGACTGCAGAGCGAGGGGCCAGGAGTCTGAAACTCTCATTGAACCTCTCCGGGGAAGAGCCAGCCAAGATCAACAAACTATGTGGGGTCCATGGAGTCGTGTGCCCTTCCAGCGGTGTAGCCTTGAGCGAGTTACTCAGTTCCAGAGTGATACCAGAAGGAGGGACTTGTTTGTTTAGTCGTTAAGTCGTGTCCGACTCTTCGTGACCCCATGGACCAGAACGCACCAGGCCCTCCTGTCTTCCGCTGCCTCCCGGAGTTGGGTCAAATCCATGTCGGTCGCTTCGATACCAACTATTGAGTGCTCGTAGTCAGAAAACCTTGGAAGGACTTTTGTAACACAAAACAACTTGACAGGATGTGATCATTATTAATTAAAGATTACTAAACAGATATATTTGAAGTAATGCAATGTAATGCTGCCGACTCAATTTACCTGGAATTGCTGGAGTATTATAGTGTAGATGGCTAATCCTTTTTATATGTTTTGTCATCTGTGTCTTGCCCTCTCCTCTGCCCCTAATCCCACTGAGTAATTCAGGGACGTAACCTTTTCCGATTCTTCAGACTGTGAACTGAGTCCACTGCCTTGCCTGTTGATGCTACTTACAGCAAATTGCTTTTTAAAAAGATTCTCGGAGGATTTGATCTACTGTGACTCATTTAATGAGATTTCACGATCCCAGCACAGCACCTCTTTTTATCAACCAGCTGAACACATCAGGTGCTGAGTTACACACCCGTCTGTCTTTCGGCTGTTTGCTCTTTAGTGTATGCCTCTCCCTACAGCGGAAGAAGGACTCTGTATAGAGTCTTAACTGCTTCTAACGTCAAACGTCTCAGTATGGTGTAGTCAATGGAGTGACAGACTAGGACTCGGGAACCTGGGTTCGAATCCTCGCTTAGTTGTAGAAACTCATTAGGGTTGCTGGACATTGGATGCAACTTGGCAGCATGTAGCAACAACAGGTTTGTTCAGGAAGATGTAATTTGAGGGGGAAGGAGGCATTGGTCCAGCTGTTCTCTGCCGGAGGACAGAGCCCTTCGGGCCTTCCATCTAGTCCTGCTGCCACCACGGACTGGAAAACACCATCCTTCCAGTAGTGTTGAAATAAGGTTCAGGTTGCTAGCCCATTCAGTTTCTGACATGAGCGCCCATTGTCTTCTTTGCCTCAGGCAGCAAAATATTTTGAACGGACCCTGGTGCACCAAAACTGCTCTCAAAGGAAACGAAATGGGATAGCTGTTATGAATCGAAATGGCACAAGAGGGAAGACAGATTAATCTTAGTTAACTAGCTTTGCTGATTCTGCCTGTGTCTTTAATCACCTTCTCCTCCAGGAATGCAAAGATAATATAAATGCAAAGCATGTTTGCTGGAGATGGGTTTTATCTGAGTGGCCTGACACTCTATAAAATTTACTGTTGGCTTTTTCTTGCTGCCAAGCAGAAAATCCTTCACACGTTGTCATAGCTCATCAGCTAGAAACTACAAAGAAGGGTGCCTAAAAATCCACTTCATCCGAGATTTCTTTTTAAAAGGAGACCAGAAACTGACTGACTGGCAATGATAAAACCCCTTTAGATTGATCTCGGTTGAGTTGTAAGAGAGAACCACACGGATATTGTTGATATCTGAGGCAGGCAGCTATCTTGACAAACCATGGTTTAACGTTACATGAAGGGGCATGCAGATCAACGTTAGGCCATGGTGGTTGCTGACTCTAACCAGGAAGTGCTGTAAATCCAGCCCTGTAGCATTAAACTGGACTGTGTCGGTTTAATGCTACAGTCAGGGAATTAAAACAAAAGGCAAACCCCCCACCATTTCCTATTGCTCTCATAATCAACACCCCTTCTCCTTCTTTTGGCCATGGCCCAGACTTCTTCCAACCAGTGCCAATGGCCTAGGCCTTGAGGCTAAGCAGAGTCCATCCTCAATTAGCTAATGAATTACAATATTTTAAAGCTGTTTTTCATTATTTTAGACAGCACACGGCTTTAATTCTTCCAGTTTCACCCAGCCAACAGTACTAAATCCCTCTTGTATTGTGTATCTATCTTCACTGGATGTGTGGGGGGAAAAAAAACCTCAGACTTTTTCTTTATTCTGTTTTAGAACTATTCCTTCTTCACATGTCGTCTCTGGAGAATCTTAATTAATTGCTGGGGTCGTAGGTTGCACCAAACAGCTTGTAGTTCTATTATTAGTAGATTTTTTAATTTATGTTCCCAGTTTTTCTTTCCGTCATGTGTTCACGCCTTTGTAACAGTTTCCGGATTTTTCCCATCTTAAAAAAAATGAGTGTTTATGTGATTGTCCCTTCTTTTCCTCTCCCACCCAATAAACTTTTTGACTTGTTAAATAAAGACTTTACCATTAATACAGCTTTATTTCTTTGCCGCATTTCGTTTTTGGCACTTGCCTCATTTTCTCCTGGCCTGTCTTTTCTCCTTATTTACATTTTTGGGTTCATTTATCCTGCTGCTTTTCTCTCCACTGAAGACAAATTTGGGAGTTTTGTAGGCTAACTCTAATTTCGGTTTCATCCAGAGTAGACCCATTAAAATGAATGGGACTTGATAATGGACTGCATGGTCATGAAATTAACTAGGTGGCTTTGGCTCTGTTATACCCTCTCCACAGACTCTGCCCCGCAGGGTTGTTATGACGATGGCGAAAATCCGTATGTGCCGCTTAAGACAATAAGTGGGATAAAAATGCAACACACTCTTGCACATACTGTACATACGTGTGCACAATTTCTCACCATTTGGTAGCCAATACCCAGATGTTACTTATCTATCCAATGTATTGGGCTTATAATAGCCCAGTGATTTAGGCAACTGATTGTGGAGCCCGAGGTTGGGAGTTCAATTCCCCAGTGTGCCTCCTGGGAGTAGAGCCAGCCTGGGTAGCCTTGGGCCAGCTGCACCGTCCCAGGGCAACCCTGGAAAATGGGAAGGGCAAACCCACTTCTGAATATTCCCTACCTGGAAAAGGTTGCCGTAAGTCAGAATTGACTTGACAGCACAGGATTATTATTATACAATATCTTATTTCCAGTCGTGCGGATAGGATGGAAATGCCTGTTTTAATTTCCAGCGGAGAGGCCACGGGGATTAACTGCATTCAACAGAAATTCAGCAGTGACCCATGATAAATTTTCAGGCCTGCCCCACAAATTCCATGCCGACTGAGGTCAGCTCCTTCCTGCCTGTTAAGTTTTATGCCCTGATGTTATTGAGAATGTTGTTTTTCATATGGAAATCAAACCGGAGGAAAAATGCTTGTACAAGCAGATTCAAAAGCGCCATCCCGCCTCTGGGTCAAAATTCAGTTGCACTGAGATGATAGAAATTTAAGCAGGGGTAAATGTTCCATTATATGTACATGCTCCTCTCCAAGTGCAGCTGTCTATTCTGATTTTAAAGTGCAGGCAATTTAACGTCTTCCTTCGAACCCATGGCATCGTTAACACAAGCACAAGGATCGCAGCTGGTTTTTGCAATTAAAAATGGAAGGTGGTTTATAACCAGTGTTGCAGGAGCCTGTACACAGTTTAGGCACAGATAAAATAATAGATCTGTACTTAAAACTAGGGGGAAAAAAAGGTGTTAAATGTCCAGAAAGCTAATTCTCTCCTCCCGGGTTTTGCTAGAGCATACTGGTGGTGTGAGGGTGGAAAAATGTGTAGGAAAGTGTGGTGAAATTGGCTGTTTAATCCATGAACTGCAGAGTGACCATGGGGGCTCTCCCCCCTTATTTAGATATTACTGTGGGTATACCAATATTCATAAATCCATTATAACATAATGTTGGATTGTGATTTGGGGAGATCCAGGTTCTCATTCCCCGTTAAAACAGGCTGGAAGATCTGGGTTCCAGTTCTTCTCACCTCGACCAACCTCGCAGGGCAGTTGTGAGGACAATGGGGGGGGGGGAAGGAAGGTGACCACCTGGGTTACCCTGAGGGCACTGGAGGAAAGAAGAGAGAGGGGGGATAAAAATTGTGCATTAAAAGTGTTTCCAAATTTAGCATCACCTATTAATCCACAGATCTTTGTGTTGATGATTTGGGGGGGGATTGATAGATGTAACTATGGACTACTAGCGGCTGACCACTAGGCCATACTACGATTTATAGTACAGATATGTACCACTGCCCCCCATTTAGGCAGTGTTGGCTTAGGTTGGAATGCTGTTTTCATGGACAGAGTTGCTTTTTCTAAGGCCAGGTCTGGCCTGCTCTGCTACTCACAAACAGCAGAACCACTAAATCAATGAGAACTTAGCAAGTCAACCCTTGTTTAGAATCCACTGATTCAACGGGTCCACTGCGTTAGGATTAACAAATGGATTTAGATCCACAGCACCAAGGAAAGCAGTAGTAGCATACGCTGTGTGATGGCCACAGTCTGAGGTCTCCCTGGTGTTTCAGTGCTTGGAAGGTCCAGGGGAGAGCTTCGACTTTGTTAGCCGGTTGAGCTGTCACTCAGTTCTCCTCTGGTGCTCGGAGCACAGTCTACTTTCAGTTCCCCCTGATTTCGGTTGAAAACACTGACGATCTTTGGTTAAAAACCTTTGAACCCCACAAAAGCTGAAGAAAACACAGAGAATCTGTGAGTGGGTGGCTGCGCCCCATGTCCAACCACCGGCTCTTTGCTCTGCCCTATGATCGCCCCCAAATCCCACAAACCCTTCTGATTCAGGCACGGCTGGCAAATTTATCAGAAGACAGCACGCATCCCTCGAGACTATTCATTATTTGGTTCCAGCAAGAATGCAGCCCTTCTGCTTCCGAGAAAGGGTCTTATTATCATTTCCAGCCCGTACGAAATGCATTCCGATTTGTAACCCGCGCATGGATAAAGGAGCAGATGCACCCCTAACGTTCTCAAGGGAAGTCTGAAATTCACACCTCCCGAAACCTGAGCCGTCCGTCTTCTTCCTCCACCCTGACACTGTCACATTGAGAACTGGAAACAAGGGAAACTATCCGGGCAATTTAATTCGGCTGACGGGGAGCAGCAACCCACCACGAAAGCAGCTAAGAGTGAATCCTTGCGGTCAGCTCCTTTTTCAGCTTAATCGAAATGGACAGCTGGATTCAGAGTTGAACAAAAGCCTTCAGTGTTCCCGAGAAAGGTATGCAGAAGGCAGGTTGATGTACAGCTGGTCCACTCTGGAGACGGATGGACAATAGCCCGCTCTGTTTTTTTTCCTTCTTCGAGCTCCACCGGGCTACAAAGCGGCATGCAAGCTGCAGTTGTCCTCAAATGTAAACATTAACCGTTTCCTACACAAGTATGGGATGTCGCCCGGGGCTTCGAAAGCAAATGCTTGCAACCCTACAATGAAGCAGAATAGGCTTATTCCTCTGCTAAGATTAGAGAGAGGTAGCCCTCTCCTTGCTAAACAGGGATTTAATTATTGCTCGCAAAGGAAGGAGAGAAATGGAACATACAGAACAGCCAGCAAAAATACTGCAAAAAATTGATGTAGAAAAAAAAATCTACTTGCGGCTTGTTGCTTGAAGCAGTCGTGTTTGTTAGTTTTGCTGTCGATCTGTTCAACTGTAATGTTTTTTATTCTTTCTACTTAAAAAAACCCGGCTTAACCAAACTATGATTACATTTTTCCTATGAATCCTCGCCACCACCAACGGCATCATTTTATAGTGGGAGATCTATTTCAGCATTAAAATGTTTTCAACTTTATCAGGGACACAAGCATTTTTTATTTGTAGTTGTAAAAGACATTTCCGCACACAGAGCAGCAAAGTTTCCCTTTCCTCCTTTCACCAAAAGGTTAAAGAGAAATATGTTTCATAGGCCAATAGAAATGGGACAAAAAAAAACTGTGCAAGCTTTCAACAGCACAGATCTCTTCTTCAGGCATACTAACTTATAAATGGTGATAATGTGCAGATCCTACTTTACCATTTCACCTTAAAAACAGCATGAAGGTTATGTGGTTTCAACCTCAAGCCCCTTGTGCTTTTCTGAGCATTCCGCTTGAAAAAGGGTTCTGTGTGACCTCTAAAGCTTGCGGTGATTTTCATCCTTATCTGTTTGGCCAAATAAAGATTATTACCAAGTGCAGATCTTGGGAGTTTTATGCAGCATGTCCCACCAAAGCATCTCAAGGCTGTGAGATCTACTCGGACTCTCCTCACGAACAAGAATAATTCTTACTGCCCTACAAACACACAAGCAATTGCTCTTTTCAACAACCCCCACGTTTGGTCGTAAAAAACATGCAGGACACCTTTTCAAAGGGATGCTTTGCCTCGGTCCCTACAACATCTGGACTTAAAAGAGGCAAGACCAAGAGGGTCCAAGTTTGATGTTTGCAGATGTACCTGTAAGGCCTTGAACCGCCATTCAAGAGCAGGAGTAGCCCAAAGCAGGTTTATTCCCTGCCCGGATTCCGAAACTCATTTCAAAACTTGGTGATTACAGCATTCGAAGGAACACGGCCGCTGATGTCATATCACCGACGGCCCGAGGATTCAGGTAGAGGAATGGTACAAGCCCGATGCAGTAAACAATGATAAGATTGCAATTTATTTCATTTTTATTCTGGCCTTCTTCCAAAGAGCACAAGGTGGCGTACACCATTTCCCCCACCCCTATTCCCCCCCCTCACAACAACCCTGTGAGGTAGGTTACAAGAAGACAGTGACTGGTCCAAGGTTTCCTGATAAACTTCATGGCCGGGTACACAACGTGATCACCAGGTCTCCCTCTGTTCAACACTTGCTCTGAAACACTAGCTCTCGAAGCATCGGGAGCGTGGCCCTGGGTAGTAAAAAAAACTTCCTAACTATTAAGAGCGGTACGAGGATTGGAACTCATGGCCTTGGGAGATGACGATCGCTCCCAGCGCTGGAGGCCTTCAAGCGAAAAATGGGCCACCCTCTGTCAGACCTGCTTTGACATAGATTCTTGCCTTGACTCAGTGGCCTTAGAGGCTCCCCCCCCAATTCTTCCTCCATTATTCTATGATTCTGAGCTAGAAACCGGCCTGCCAATTTGGGTGGTAGATAAAAAGTACAGTACAATGTTTTGTTCCGGGCTACCTAAAACCCGCTGCATAGACAGAATTCCTTTGGAGATCAGGTGGAAAGAGAGTTCTTGAGAACATGTTACTGCTCAGAAAAGTCACATTTTTAGACTCCCCTCCCTTGCCGCCAGCACAGGCATAACCCACATCTTTTCGAAACCCAAGGATATGCATTTTAAGGATGCACGCTGGCATGGATGCCTCTGGGCGCGCTTGCAACGGAGAGGCCAAAAGAGATGTTGATCCCAGAGATGACACACGCACGCACGCATGCCCCCTCTGCCCTGCATTTTAAAAACACGCTGGGATCCAACTCACCCTCTTTCGAGGAAAAGCTGGTGGGGGAGAAAGAAAATGGATGAAGGGAAAACCACCCGAGCAGTCGTGCCATCAAACTGTCTTGTCTCTCTTTCCCCTCCGCCCAATCTAAAACGGAGAGGGGTGGAGGGAAAAAAAACCCATTTAAAAGACTTTTCTGGAGACACCCTCTTCTGGAGACCTCTCGGTTGGGCCCTTCAGGATCGTAAATATTGCCGGCCAGTCGTTCAAAATCTTATTTCGAAAAGGAGCGTGGGGAGAGAGAAAAAAAGAAGAAGAACTCGTTCCGGAAAAAAAGGTCAAGGTGTTACCAGTCATAGTTTATTTTGTTTCGTTTTTTTAAAAAAGGACCCCACCCCCTCCCGCCCCAAAATAAAAGCAACCCACAAGGCCACCGCCACGGCTTTTCCCCCGAAGATCGGGCTCCCTCATTCGCCAGCAGGCTGTCCCTGGGGTGGGGCGGTCGACGTGATGACGCTGCCGGTCTGCAAGGGGACGGCGCCTCCTCCTCCTCCTCGGGATTCTTCCATCCGAGGGCGTTTCACATCGGGCTCGCTGGACGACTCTTCCACCTCTTTATGCCCGGCCTCTCCCACCTGGCTGACGACCACGGGAGGGGACGAACTGGCCTGGGTGGCCAGGAGCTGCAACGGGTTTGTGAGGGCTGGAGAAAAAGACAGGAGCGAGAAGAAAACTTGTCTCTTCCGGACAAAAAAGGACGGCCACCCTCTCTCCCGTTCATGACTACCGTCACGCTGTCACCTCCATTCTGACTTCTGCCCGGTACGGTTTTCTAGGTACAGAAGACTCAGATGTGGTTTCCCCTTCTCTTCCTCTAGGGGGAGCCCTGGGGCTGTGCAGCTGGCCCAAGGCCACCCAGGCTGGCTCTCCTCCCAGGAGTGCAAGGTCGGACACCCAACCTCTAGCTCTGCATCCAGACAACTAAAACCACCGAGCTATCCAATTCATTAGGGTCTAATTCAATGGTTAGTCCAAACCAGAGTAGACCCATTGGCTTAAATTAGGGACAGGCCATCTTGGTTGACTTGGGTGGTCTACGTTCTCTCTTTCTCTTTCACACACACAGAGGAGAACCATGGTAGGTTACGGAAAGAAGGCAGGAAGGCAAGCAGGAAGGAAGGCAAAGATGGAAAGCAGAAACCACAGGTCCACAACCTCTCTAAACAGGTCTGAACAAAGAAGAAGTGTGTCCTTATTCGGATGCAACCGACAAACCCCCCCCCCCCGGTTCTGCCCATTAACACGGCACGCAAGCGGCAGGAAGAGAATTAAAAGGAGTCGCAACATACTGTAAGCGCCGCCAGGGATGCTGCCGGTGGGGACGGCATGCTTCCCGTTCTGCGTCACCGCTCGGACAGGTAGCTGGTGTTGCCCGATGGTCATGGGCGTGGCTTGCTGGAAGATGGTGACCGTTTGCCCCGGGACACCCTGAGACATCTGGCTGGCAACGGTCTGAATGACGCGGCTGGCAGTGGGGATGGCTGCAAACGCAATGGTGGGCTTCTCATCCCTCCCTAGGAAAAGAGGAGCACACGTCACCCACCAACAAGAGCTGTTATTTATTTCCCAGTTCTTCTAGGCCAGGGGTTCCCATCTTGGGGTCCCCTCCAGATGTTCTTGGACTACAACTCTCAGAAATCCTGGCCAGAACAGTTAGGGGTGAAGGCTTCTGGGAGTTTGAGTCCAAGAACATCTGGGGACCCAAGGTTGGGAACAATTATTTGGTGAAATGTGGAGCATCCTTCTGAACTGGTGTTATCCTTATGCACGCACAAGGATACAAGCATTCGCTACAGTGAGAAAGTCCCTTCCTGCCACTTCTAACTCTCTTCTGTGTTCCGTTTTTAGGAACACAGGGCGAGGCGGGGAGAAAGACTTTCTGGCTGCCCTTTGGTAGCCATGCATAATTTCTTACAATCAACAGGAAATAATTTTATGGCTTCCTGTTCCATGGTGGCAAAGCAGATCTTTTTGGGGGGAGGACACTAGGTGAGAAATTTCGGGAGCGTATATGAAAAAAGCAACTGCCCCATGTACACCTCCCTGACAAGATGGCTAGGTGGGGGAATTCTTATATATATTCATCTAGTAATCCTTTCCCTTCAACCTATGACACCGATACTGTCTCCTTGCTGTTATTACTATTACTATGATTACTACCATTACTAAAGGATCTGTACACTAGATTTTAGGGCGAGAGGCCCTTAAAAGCAGTTCACAAAAGAAAAAGATAGGAGTTAAACCCCCCCAACATGACTTTATATACAAACCCCCTCCCCCAGAAATTTCAAAACTTTTGAGGCTATTAGCTGAACTGAAAGCTAAATATTGAAGCCTTTAAAATCAGATACAACCTCTTATCATTTTAACAAAGGCATTTCAAAGATGGGATAAGCAGGAAGGTCTCTCTGCTGAAGTCTAGACCTAAAATTCCCAGTAACTTCTGATGTTTGTACCGGCAGATCCCTGACTAAAAGCCAAGTATATAGCCTTAAATTCCACTGATATAAATTGAAGAAACAATTGCGTTACAGGAGGACCCCTGTATTCCATGGTATCGGTACCTGCGATCTCACTTATCAGTGGTTTAAAAATAAAAATTCAGAAATAAGTTTTTCCAGGATGCAGTTACCAGAACTGGCCACTAGAGGTAGCCAAAGACCATGCTCTGTCTATGGTTCACCATTATGCAGTTTTAGGCATGGGGGGCACTTGGAACCAATTCCCTGCAGATATGTGGGTCCTACTGTACACGGCTGTAACAGCTGGATTTTTCCTGCATCAACCCTAAAACCCTTTTTGGCGCACAATGATCTTAGCACTGGGGAGCTGGAAGGGACGCTATGCATCATCTGGCTCCACAGCGTTGAGCTGTTCAGCAGTCCTGGTTCTTAACAACACGTGCGTTACTTAAAAGCAAATGTATCTGGTTTAAGCAAACACACCTAGGCAGACAGATGTTTAAGTTTCTTGGTTAAATAAATAATTTCCCTTCAATGCCTCAACAAGGAAGAGACAAACGCGAATGCTTCAGGTCTCAAGAGTGGAGTGGAGTGGATTTATCCTCCCCACAGGTCAAATGACGTGAAAGCTGATCGGTTCAGCTAAAACTTAATTAGTGTAATAATTGCGCTTGTTAAGTGATAAGCCATACAAATTGCCTGCCTTTGCCCCGTTGGTCTCGGTGAAGGGTCAGCAAAATTACTTGGATGCTAATGCAATATCCAGAATTATCTGGACATGCAGAATTTACGTGAAGTCGTTTTTTAAAAACAGCTTACTTTGAGATAATTAGTTTTGAAGCACTGCAGGTTTTCCCCCCCTTCCGTTAATTGTTTACCTGATTTATATTCTATTGCCCTTTTCTTACGAAGTATATGTGTATGAGTGTGTTCAAGTCAATTCTGACTTAGGGCGAGCCTTTCCAAGGATTTCTAGATAGAGAATGGGATTTCTAAGTTTCCCACTCCCTCTAGGGGGCGCCCTGGGACGGTGCAGCTGGCCCAAGGCCACCCAGGCTGGCTCTTCGCCTGAGAGACAAAGTGGGGGAATTTGAACACCCAACCCCTGGCTTCACAGCCAGATACTTTACTCTCTGAGCTATCCAGCCAGCTTTTCTCATGGACGATGGCCAAAAAGCCCATCAGCAACAAAAAAACAACAACACATTACAGTACTGCCAATTGTAACAGAAAACATATTGCATTGGTTGCCATAAGTGGATTGTCTGAAACTTCCATTTCTAAAACTCTTAAGTATTTTAGAAAGACCACAGCTTTCCTTTTTTCCACAGATGTACACCTGGTGGCAGGATTTTTTGTTCAAGTGGGGCTGAAAGGAACAGCCCTTCTAGACCTAGAGGATGATGACTCAAGACAGGCAATGTCAGAACTGCCCGGGGGGCATTTCTCACCCTACTCACATCCTTCAGGCCACACCGGCTGCTCTCAGCCAAAATTCGAAACTTGCTGCGGGTTAAAAAACAAATCAACCCCAAACACGTCCAGTTTTTAAAAACTGTGGCCAGAATCTCACCGATGCTTATGTAAGGTTTGCACAACATGCTGCTGCTGAAGAAGTGCTGAAATGTACCGTGGTTGTGCAACTGGGCGCACAAGGACGACACACCCTAGCGCCTCAAATTGTCAAGACATGTTGTGCAGACTTTACAAGAAGATCAAACGGATTCTGGGCACTGGGCTCAAACAAGGTGGGGACCTTGGAAAGGGCCTTCTCTGTGGCCGCCCCCGAGACTGTGGAACTCCCTCCCACTGGGGGCCAGCCTGGCCCCATCTTTGCTGTCCTTCCGCAAGCAGGCCAAGACCTCTCTCTTCAGGCAAGCCTTCTCTCAGTGACTGACTGGGTCAGTGAGATTTTTAAACGGATTGTGGTGCCTTATGATTGCTTAGAATGTGCTTTCAGTGTTGCTTCGTTTACTGTTTTTAAAATCTCAATAGGCATTCAGCTGCTTTTTAACATGTGATACTTATGCCGTGTTTTTAAATCCATCGTTTTATCCGCTGTGAGCCCCCTTAAGGCCCCCTCTGGGGAGAAAGGCAGTATATAAAGAATAATAAGAAAGAAAGAAAGTAGATTATAATATTGACATCTCCCCACGGCTAGCACTACCTCGAGGCTCACCGGCCAAATCTAAGACAGCTCCGGTTGCTTCGTGGACGCCGCTGGCTGGCCCCTGGTTGGTCAGGATGTATCCGTTCGCGGAGCTGGCGGAGGTGGTCACAACCCGGACCATGGTCACCGTCGGGGCTTGTTGTACGACATGAATGGCGTGAGCCGAAGGCGGCTGAGAGGTTACCAGGGAGGCTGGCATGTAAGCCACCGGCTTGGTGATGAGGGCAGAGGGGCGAGGAGGGACCGCCATGATGACTGGCTGGGCACTTACAGGCGAGCCTGAAAGGAAGGGAAAAGGGGTTAGCCATCGCTGCCAGGACAGACGCTTCCTCTCAAAGATGCCCAGCATTCATTCACATAGAAGCGGGGGGGGGGGGGGAGGAAAAAAAACACACCAATAATTTTTGGCCTGGACAGCCCGTGTATTTTGAAAAAAGGCCCCCTTCAAAGCCTAAAACAGATGGGAAACACTGAAAATGTTCTGCAGCAACGTCTTGTTTCAGAAAGACTGAAAGATCTGGGCATGTTTAGCCTTGAGAAAAGAAAATCGAGGGGAGATAGGATAACACTTTTCAAATATTTGAAAGGCAGTCCTACAGAGGAGGTTGGCAGGATCTCTTCTTGACCATCCCACAGTGCAGGACACTTATTAATGGGGTCAAGTGACAGGAAGCCAGATTTCGGTTGAATATCAGGAAAAACTTCTTAACCATTAGAGCAGTACGACAATGGAACCCATGACCTCAGGAAGCAGTGAGCGCTCCAATGCTGAAGCCATTCAAGAGAAAATTGGACAACCGTCTGTCTATTTTGATTTGGATTCCTGAACTGAGCAGGAGGTTGGACTGGATGGCCTTATAGACCCCTTTCCAATCCATGAATCTATGATTCTACAAAGGGTTTTTAAAATGTTAATAACAACAGCAGCAGCAACAACAACAGCTAATAGGAGGTGTGATTTCATGGAGGGCATGCATGCAGCCTACAGGCCACTTCCAACTATGCTGTCTGCAAAAACCGGGCATAGTCGCGATTTGTGATCCTTGCTTTTCTGGCCACTGGTTGGGCCTTCAAGAAAGAATTGGACAACCGTCTGTTAGGTCTATTTCGATTTGGATTCCTGAACTGAGCAGGAGGTTGGACTGGATGGCCTTATAGACCCCTTCCAACTCCATGAATCTACGATTCTACAAAGGGTTTTTAAAATGTTAATAACAACAGCAGCAGCAGCAACGACAGCTAACAGGAGGTGTGATTTCATGGAGGGCATGCATGCAGCCTACAGGCCATTTCCAACTATGCTGTCTGCAAAAAACCGGGCATAGTCGCGATTCGTGATCCTTGCCTTTGTGGCCACTGGTTGGGCAGGATTAGAGAGATCCCTGGGCTCTGCCTACAATGGCACCCTCCCTATGAAATGTGTGGCCCAAAGGAGCTCAGCTGATCATTACTGCCTCTGAGAAGACCCGTTCAAACATCCGTACTCCAGCGTTGGCCGGGAGGACCACCGAGAGTTTGGTTTTGCGATCCTCTGCTCTTTGATTTTGAAAAGGCTGCAAGTCTTCTGCTCGTTGGGTGTCTCGACATGGCCGTTCCGACGTGGGTCAAGGATTTAGAAAGCCCGGAGGGTGCGTCAAGGGGGACCGAACACCAGAGGCTTCCGTGAAGCTCTCCCCTTCCTCTCCTTATTTGCAGAGAAGGGGCTTACCGGGTGCACTCTGCGAATACCGATACTCTGGGACAGAGGCCAATTTTGAGCCGAAGTCGTGGTCGTGCGGAATGGGCGAACCCTCCCGGGAGAGGCACTCTGGAGTCTGTAGGCCACTTGTGGGAGGAGACAACAGGCCAGGATGTGTGGGAGAGGCCGGGGCGCTCCTGAAAGGGAAAGACTCAAGTGAGGGGGAAAATCACATTAGCAGCACCCACGTCACCAAAAATGAGGAGGAAAGGAGCCAGCGTTTCTGCACAGGTGGGAGCAGGGGGTGGATCATGCCATTCGGGGTTCCACTGTGGAGCCCTGCGATGTTCACTGAAGCCCAAGAACCTCACCTTTATGAATTCAAGTTTCTAGTCCTCATGACAGCCAAAAGCTATCCCTCTTTGCTAAAGTAATGTTACAGCTATAATCTGTCTTTCGTTCGAGCTACGAACGTAATTATCCAGAAGGACTGAAACACAATTTTCTTGAGCCTTCGTCCAACACTGCAAGCCAGTGGTTTCCCATCCTGGGGTCCCAAGAGGTTCTTGGACGGCAACTCCCAGAAATCCTGTCCAGCCCAACAAGGGTGAAGTTCTTCCGGGAGTCTGAATCCGAGAACAGCTGGGGACCCGAGGTTGGGGGACCATGACTCTAACCACAACACCACCCATCCAGAATCAGGCGCTCGGCTCAGGAGGAAGCCAAAGAGGGCAACAGCGGGTGACCCCACTTGTTGTTTGCCCTCTGCTGCCTCTGGAGTGGAAACACTCCCCCTTTGCCCATAAAGCGGCAGAAAGTGCTTACTTGATTTCCTCCTCGGGCGGAAAAATATTTGGGGCTGCCAAATGGAACACAGGCCCTCTGTGTGTGTGTGTTTTGTTTTTGCAGCTAAAACACAGCTGAGCCACAAATCCCCACTTTGTTGCCCCCCTCACCCTGAGACTCACCGGGAAGAGAGAGGCCCGAAGGGGGTCCGGAAGCACGACACCCCCCTCTGCCTCCGCTTTCGGAAGGCCTGCTCCACCAGTTTGCTCTCCGAAGGAGGATCGATGCGCCAGAAGGACCCTTTGCCAGGCTCCTCTTGAGAACGTGGGACTTTAATAAAATAACGGTTCAGGGACAAGTTGTGCCGGATGGAATTCTGCGGGGGGGGGGGAGAGGAAGACAGAGAGGCAGGAAAAAGGGTTACCCCCAAAGTTTGAGAGAGAGAGGTGTTCCGGTCACCGTTCTTCCCGCCAGCCACTCACCTGCCAGCCTTTATCAGCTGTCCTGTAATACGGATAATGCTTGGTGATGTGGGCGTAGATCCCACTTAGTGTTAACTGCTTGTCTTGAGCGGAGGAGATGGCTTGAACGATGAGCTGGGCGTATGAATAGGGTGGCTTCGAGTCGTCCTGCAAGCAAACCCTCACAAAGTCAGACACACAAAGGAGTTTTGAGAAGCTTCACCGTTCATTCACTGAGTTTGTTGAACAAGGTAGGATTCCCCCTAACTTAAAAACAACAACAAACGAACACAACAACACTCTTCCCCCAATCTCTCCCTGTGAAAACCGTCTGTCTTATTCTCTCTGCCTTTGGGGCCTAATGAGAACCGAACTTGACACCAAAAAGCCAAGGAGGAAAGCCAATCTTTAATAACAACAACGATGTGAATCTAGGCAGCAAACTGCAGCCAGTCAGGGCATCAACGTAAGCATTCTTCTGTTACACACAGCATTGTGTCACTCAGGACACAAAGTTGTACAACTCAATGCACAACAGCAGACACCCATGCTGACTTCTTAACTAGCCACGATTTGCTGCCGAGATGTACAGCAGCGGCATGGATAGCTGTCTTGTGCTGTCAAGTCAATATGGATTGATGACCACCCTTTCCAGAGTTTCCCAGGTACAGAACACTCAGAAGTGGTTTCCCCTTCACTTCCTCTAGGGGGAGCCCTGGGACGTTGCAGCTGGCCCAAGGCCACCCAGGCTGGCTCTTCTCCCAGGAGGCCCCGTGGGGGGGATCGAACTCCCAACCTCTGGCTCCGCAGACAGAGACCTAAACCACTGAGCTATCCAGCCAGCTGCACTGTACTCATGCAAAAAACCTAGCCGGGATTAGGGGAGCTGTCGTCCAAACGAGGCTCTCTCCCAAGTTCTGGTCCCCCAAGGTGGCCTGGCAGAAGCCCTAATACATTCTAGTCCCAAGCCATCTTTAAGGCTATATCAGAAGCTGGTCGTCTTTATAAGGGGCAGAGAGGCTGGCTCACTGGTGTTGACTGATGCCAGAGCATCAACATCAGTCTCATCTCTTCCATCACCTCTTTAGAGCAGTCTAGCAGACGCACCGGGG